TGTGAAGAATGGTTTATTCGGTTGATTGAAATTCTTTTAATTTGTTTCCCTTTCTATTTTTGGCATGTAATTTGCTGGTGTTAGTTTCCTATGATGGTGATTACTCCGAGATTCTCAAGTGGCACTGTGATTACTTTGGCCGTGGCGGTGGCTGTGGTATTAATTCTTATACTTACTCACCCTGTATTTTGTTTGGTTTGGTGCTTTGTGTTTATTGTTGCTTTCTGTTGAGTTTTACAGATGTGATTGAAGAAGATGCCTTGAATGCAGAATCCTGTGTTCAGGTTTTGAGAATTTTGATCAGCAAAGCGGATACTGAAATCGATGAACTGGAAAAGGATCTTTTGTGCCTTCAGAATGAATTGGCTTGGACTGAGAATGAAAACTGGCCTGAAATATGCTGTAGTGCTTTGACCGAAAGAATCAACCAGCTTGATGTTGCAGTTACTGCTTTGAAGAGTAATCATGCTGATGATACAGAGATGCAGCTATGGTTGCATAGTAAACCTGCTGAGACACTTCATGAAATAGTGAAGGCTCTACATAAAGATCACTGCCAAGATACACATGTCCAGGTTTGGTTATTGAAATCAATTTCCCTCCCTGAGTTCATATTAGTATGTAATTTTTTTCCTTTTTAATGTGCTCTAATTTTGTATCTGCTCCATAGCTCGGTATTCGATGAGAGAATGCACTAGAATATAGGATACAAAGGAGTTTTTTTGGAAATGAAACAATGAATTAGTCTGTGAAGTTATTAGTTAATGCGTTAGTTAGGTTCATCATATATAAATAGGGGGGTTGTCGAGGAAGAGGATCATCATTGAATAATGTAAACTGATTTTACTGTTCTTCACACTTGGTTTCAAACTTAACTGAGTTTTTCTTCCCTTCAATTTAAAGCAGCGTCTAGATGAGAACATTCTGAATCCAGTTGTGAATGTTACTGAACATGCACCGGACAATGATTCTAAAAATACTGATGCAAATGTTATCATAAGGGAGGGAGGAGGAGAAGACTTTGGAACCTCAGAAAACTCTAGAAGCTCAGAGCCTCTTTCGGAGCTTCATGAAAAGAGATCGGATGATCCTAAAAAGAGCAAGGTTGAGAAAGCTATGTACTTTATCTTAGTTCAAGAAGCAATTATTTTATCTTCCTTCCTTTCTTAATGTATTAATTTTAAAATTTAGTGAACATTTTCTCTGTCTGCATGAAGTAATTGATTTATTACACTAATCTTTCTGCTCTTGTTACCTGTGCCGTCTGTCATGTTAGGCCTGTTCAAAATGTGTATGCTTATTTGATGTGTTTGCATAATGATTGTATAACATGTCTACTTGCTTTATAAACAATTGCTTTTAACATGATAGTTATACAATATTTCTGCCTCTCTCTAGGCCACATAACGCCATGATTCATGCATTTAATCTGATAAATTTTTATATGCATATAGTGGAGATATGTCACCAACAATAGCATTTAAAATGAAGCTTGAGTATGCGTAATTACGGCTATATGCAGCATACTTGTCATTTACAAATAAGCATACTTTGAGTTAGAGATGTACACGATTCTATGATTGCTCAAGTTTCCTGCTAGTTATTATTTTAATCTCTATCCAATCATCCTAGTTTGAAAAGATATATTGAGGAATTCGGCCTCACAAAATCTTTTGTTTCCTTCTGTCAAGAAAATTATTAGAAATAGGTTTTGAACTGAGATTGAAAAATAAGATTTGGTTTTACCATTTCCAATTTACTGACATATTTTTTATTAAATAAAATAGTGCTAGTGTTTAAACCTCCCGATGTTGTACTTATTAATTAATGTCTACGATCAGCTGTCAAATATCAATATCAAACAGCCCTTTAAAGATGCAAATAAAAATATCTAACTTATCCATTGAGAAGAAACACCAAAGTTAGTTTAAATTCTTGACAGTTTGAATCTGGTACTGGACCCTAAGAAAAAAGAGTAAACTTGGCAGTCTGTATTTTTTCCTGTTTGATGATATAAGCTTTTCAACCATTTTTATGTATGGTAATTTTGTATTGAAGACTAAAGGCTGCACTGGTATAAGTATAGTAGAGAGATTTCTATCTTCTTAGGTTACTAAACTTTTAATTTTGAACATAATGTGCCCTGAAAACCTTGCTAAACTCGTCTAAGCTAGCGAACCTGATTATTATTATTATTATTATTTTTTTAATGAAGGAATTGCTTGCAATATCTCTTGTGAGAAGTCCTGATTTGGGGGTTGTTAGCTGTGTACCTCACCATACTGATAGGATGAAATTATCTGATAGTGATACATTAGAAGATAAAGTTACTGGAGATGAGGATGTCGGGCAAAACCAACTCATTACTACAGATACATGTCAAATCTTGATTCCACTTTTGTCCAAGGTGCATGAAGCTGTTTTCCTATTTTAATCAATTTAAAGCTCATGGATGTTGCAGTTATATTTTTCTACTTTGAGTTTAATCAAGGTATTCTGGTCAATGTGTTTTGTTAAATTGTGCAGGAAGAAAATACAACTCTCAAAGAAGACCTCTGCTCTGATGGCTATAAATTTTCCACTATCAAAGGGAACAATCTCCAAACTACTGAGTCAGATCAAATCTTGAATCCATTCTTGTCCAAGGGAAACGAAAATATTCCAAATGAAACCAAGGTGCAAAAAAACCCTTTTGCTCTTTTAATCAGTTTAAACCTCATGTTGGATGTGGTAGTTGCAGTTTTCTACTCTGACTTTGTACAAGGGATTCTGTTCATTGTATGCTTTTATATTTTGCAGGAAGAAAATATAACTGTCATAGAAGATTTCTGCTCAGATGATCATAGAGTTGCTATTATCAAGGGGAGCCAACTCATTGCTGCAGAGACAGGTCAAATCTTGAATCAGTTTTTGCCTAAGGGAAATGAAAATATTCAAAGTGAAGCCAAGGTGCTAAAAGCCCTTTTTCTCATATACTCATTTTATAATTCATGGGTGTGGCATTAATACTTTTCTACTTTGGTTTTAATTTAGGTATTCTGTTCATTGTATTTTGTTAAATTGTGCAGGAAGAAAATACAACTCTCATAGAAAATGTCTGCTCAGATGAGTGTAGACATGCAATTATCAAAGCAAGCATTACTGCAGAGTCAAGTCAAATCTTGGATCCATTTTTGTCCAAAGAAAACAAAAATATTCCAAGTAAAGCCGAGGTGAAAACCCTTTTCCCCTCTAAGAGAAACAAAAATATTCCAAGTGAAACCAAGGTGCAAAAAGCCCCTTTCCTCTTTTAATCAATTTAAAACTTTTGGACGTGGTCGTTGTATTTTTCTAAGTTGATTTTAAACAAGATATTCCATTCATTGCTTTTTCTTAAAAATTATGCAGGAAGATAATACGAATCTCCAAGGAAATGTATGCTCAGATGATTATAGACTTGCAATTATTAAAGGAAGCATTACTGCAGAGTCAGGTCAAATCTTGGATCCGTTTTTGTCCAAGGAAAACAAAAGTATTCCAAGTGAAACCAAGGTGAAAACCCTTTTCCCCTCTTTAATCAATTTTAACCCTCTTGGATGTGGTAGTTGCACTTCTCTACTTTGACTTTAAATAAGGGATTCTATTCATTGTTTGCTCTTAAATTGTGCAGGAAGTAAATATAGCTGTGAAAGGAAATGTCTGCTCAGATGATCATAGACTTTCGTTTTTCAAGGGGAACCAACTCATTGCAAAAAGTGCAGGTCAAATCTTGAATTCAATTTGGTCTAAGAGAAACAGAAATATTCCAAGTGAAACCAAGGTGCAAAAAGCCCCTTTCCTCTTTTAATCAATTTAATACTTTTGGACGTGGCCATTGCATTTTTCTAATTTGATTTTAAACAATGTATTCCATTCATTGCTTTTTCTTAAAAATTATGCAGGAAGATAATACGAATCTCCAAGGAAATGTATGCTCAGATGATTATAGACTTGCAATTTTCAAGGAGATAAAAATGCATTCTCATTCCAGATTTGGTACTAGTCAACAAGAAGAAAGTGAAAATTTTGATTTAGCTAAAAAGTTGTGTGATTTTGTTCCAAAAGCTGCACGAAGAGTCTGCAGGAAAGAATCCAAGGTTGCTCCAGATGAAGATTTGGAATCTATGTGTAATTTTGTTCCGAAAACTGCACAAAGAGCCTGCAAGAAAGAACCCGAGGTTGCTCCAGATGAGGATTTGGAATCTATGGATGCACCCTTACAAGTTGTTTTTCCTCAAAATTTCTGTTTTGCTGATACAGAATCAAGTGCCATTAAAAAAAATAATGTCAACAATGCCCTGCAAGTGCTAGACCTAACAGCCAAAGTTGCTGCTAAATTCAGCAAGTCCTATAAACGCCAGGGAAAGAAGAAACCAGAATTTGAGGCATGTTCTGCCAGAGAACCACTTAACAGTCCTGCAGAAGTTATTCCAAGTGCATCTAAGAGTGTATCAACCAAGAGGCAACGGAAACCGAAAACCTGTGCTGCTGATACAATCAATGATCCCATGGATAATAAAATTACTAAGAGGGCTGTGAAACCGGGCAAGCATGAAATTGATGATAATGTTGTTGATCTTGATGACAGCGATTCTACACCAACCAAGAGGCAGCGGAAACCCAAAACCTGTACTGCTGGTAAAATCTTAAATGAGCCCGTGAATAGTAAAATTAGTAAGACAGCTCTGAAACCAGGCAAGCATGAAATTGATGGTAATAATGTTCTTTATGACAATGATTATGCTTCAAGCAAGAGGCAGCGGAAACCAGAAACTGGTACTGCTGGTATGATCTTTAAAGAGCCCATGAATAGTAGAATTATTAATTGGACTGTGCAGCCGGGCCAGCATGAAACTGATGGTAATGCTATTGTTCTTTATGACAACGAGTTTTCTGAATTACAAGAGAAAGGACGAGTTTCAGAGCTGTCAATTACCTCAGAAGTACAAAATTCAATTGTTAACTACTTTGACACAACAAATATGGATAAGGTTCCATTGGATGTTATGCCGCTTGCGCTGGTGGATTCTCCTAATGAGAGCTCAGCTGTGCTCCCTGTTTACACGATAGAAAACTTGATGAAAATGAAATTGACTGAGTTGAGGCCCATGGCAAAGCAACACAATATATTAAAGATTTATAAGCTTAAGAAAGCAGCTTTGGTTGAACAATTAGTTGAGCGACTCAGCAGCTGCTGAACTTACTAGTGGGCTTGATAGTGTTAGCCTATTTTTGCAATTGTCTTTTGGGTATCGTTTTTTGGTTAGGTCCAGTGCTTCCACGGAGTTTGGCATACGATTCTGACATAGTTGTGAAAAATACGTAGGCACGAAGAAATGGATTTTGTACAGCTTATAGATAAAATACTTTGTAAATGAAAGGAAGTATAGGTTTTCTTCCTCGTAGCTGGTTAGTCTTTGCAGCCTCGTTAGAGACTTGAAACTTTGCTGCTTATGTCCACATTGATCTCTTTTGTGATCCATATAGTTTTATAAATGGATTCATCTAGTATATAAATTTTGGTGGTCAAAATGAAGACCAAGACTAGCTCTTCAATATTCACTCCCACACAACACAAATAAATTAATAATGATAAAATGCACTTTACAAAAAGCATTATTTAACTTGTGACTTTGTTATTGTTTAATTACCAAAACAAGTTTATGTTTTGACTTTTTATTTTAAAATTCAATCCCATAGTTTAAATCAAAACTACCAACACCTTTCAATTAATCTGAAATAAGGTAAAAACAATTCATTAATATATAAGTATATCAAAACACTATCAAAAGTGCTTATGTCATGGTAAGTTCTTAATAGAGACTTATATTTTGACATATATGTACAAAACAATAATGCAATGCAAAAAAACAATCACATCACAAAATAATACATAAATGATATATGTCCCTTTGACCTGTGATTCCTATAAATGGTTACATCCACATTTGTTTTTGTCAAGTGAAAACAATCACTGTTGTCCAAGAAGTGAAGGCCTATAAAAAGCATGACTTTGCGCAATCTCAATGCGTTCTCGCGGATCATTCAGATTTTCATCCCTCAGAGCTTTCAGAATAGCTTGTGTTGATTGTTCCCTAAGAAATCCAACATGCACCAGAAGCATTAGAAACATATATGCTCCAATGAGAGAGTATAGATTAGTTACTTAGCTAGAAGTTAGTTAGAGGCATTTAACGCTCAACCATACATGTTTACCTCACATCCTCTAATTAGTCCCACTAATCGCCAAGGTTTATGCTAATTATTGTTAGGAGATTGATTACCTGGATATCAATATTTTGTAGAGTGTCTTCAAGATAGGGCAAAGCTCAACAGGAGCAACATGTTTATTTTCTTCAGGATGTAACACATTCAAGCTTGATTGGCTCAAAAGTTCGAAGAATGCCTCCACCGCAGATACTCCCTAGAAGCAATAATTGGCAGGTCATAACATTTTTCTATAGTGATTAATACATATAAAAAATTACATACAAGTTTGTTAGAGACGACCGACGTTAATATTGTTAGTGTTTATACCTGAATCATTCCTTTGCCGCTAATTCTGTCGCCCATGTCAGGGCTTAGTTCACCCTTAGCTAACATCTGTCCGTACCATGCGTTACGCCCTTTTAACAACGTGACGTATGTGTCGGCCAGTAATGGTCCAGCAAGTTTCTCAGGCTCTTCAGTTAACAAGTGAGTGATGAATATCATCTCTGAAGTACAATGTGCAAAGTACACTGATTTGCTAGTAGCACTTTCATTGGTAAGCGATGCTACCATTCCTGTTAAGACATGGAAATCATCAGAGACGTAGGCGCAATTGACTGAACTTCATGATCAAACATCGTGTGTTCTCTATTTGCACTATTTCGTATCATTTTACTTTCAAACTAGGTTTCTGATCTAAGAAAATGTGTTGATGATATATAGTAAAAGTTGAAGCTTACCAGCTCCAATTGCATAGACATTTTTCAATCCACCCATGACTTCATGTGTGACAAGGTCACTATTGTCCCAAACAATAAAATGTGGTTGTCTAAGAAACTTTGCTAAAGGTTTTCTCCATTTCTCAGCTCCACAAATTCTAGCATTTGCATACTCTTTGTTGTAGATTTCTGATGCAATATTTGGACCCCCAAGATATAGTATGTTCTCCATAGGCACTCCAGCTGTCACAGATATAGACACAGACACGTTGACACAAACAATAATTTTAAGAGACCGATAAATTAAAAATAATTTCATGTGTCAGTCTTATGTCAAACACCAAACACGATTTTGTTCAGAAATTTTGGTACAAGTTGATTCAAGAACTCTACGATTTTTTGTAACATACTTTGTATAGCATTCATATATAAACTATGTTACTTGTACAACTAGATTTAGACAATTTTCACGACAACTTTCTAATCGGTTAATTAACATAGTTCAAATCTACATGTAATCGAATACCGAAAAATTATCAGATGCAAGACAAAATGCAAATCGAAAAGAAGAAAAAACTCTCTTACTTGCTTGATGAATCATTTTTGTAGGAGTAACAATATGAGGAACAGGCTCCAAAGCAGCTTCAATACCTTTAGACAAAGAAATGATAACAGGAACACTAATCCTCTCTTTCCAATACTCACTAATCTCTTCGAAAACCTCGCGAGTTTCCGTCGAAGGCAAACCATTAACAACAACATCAGCATCCCAAACAGCTTCTTGCAAATTAGTAACAACTTTCAAAGGACAAACAGGAGTATCAATCATGTTCAAACAAAGACCATCTTTAAGAATCTCATCAGCAAACAATGTCCTATCACCAAGTCTCGCTTCGACGTATTTCAGATACGCGCACCGTCGTATCAACCTTCTTAAAACATCTTCTCTTGAATTTATAACTTCGAAGAGATGTTTCGCCGTTTCTCTATCGACTTTTCGCCCCGATCTTCTCCATATTCTTATTTGTACTTTGTCTCTAAATTGTCCATAACTGTCTTGTAAAAGTGCTGCAAAAACACTTCCCCAAGCACCAGCTCCAATACTCACAATTCTCAAAGTGTCACCATTGGTTTTACCAATTAGGCTTCTGAACTCATCAAGCTTCTCTTCTAATCCATTGTTATGATTCTGAGATGATCCATTTGAAGCTGTGTTATTGTTTATCTTCCCCAAAATGCTTCCTACCATGATCCAAAATATTAAAAAAAATGTTGATAGAAAAATTCTTCAAAATGTGAATGTGAATTTTGTGTATCTATAAACTAAAATAAGAGTTCTATTATATAAACTTGTGACTTTCACTTTCTTTGTTTACTCAACTACCAAATTTTATTCTTGTTAGCATAAGGATAAGATTTTTTGGGTTAACAAAAATCAAATCTTGTTGGTAGATATTGAATGACCAATGCTGTACATTATTTATTGATACATTCAATGCATGAATATGGTACAAATAAATATGTGCCCACTCCATATTTTAAATAACTATCAGATTTATTAAATAACCGATATATTTAATTTATAGATTTTTTAATTAAAAAACATCATTGTCATTTTTGTGTTTTAAGATAAAATCATTTTTATTCTCTTATTAGTGTTTTATACATTGCTTCAATTTCATGCATACTTTTAAAGTATGGTATTTTAAAATTGATGTAGTTTGTAGATACAAGAAGTAGTGTACATGACATGTGAAGCCAAAAGAGTAGATAAGAGGAATGGAGAAAAAAATGAGCATCACTTTGTTTTCTCCGTCTATCGTTTGTTGTACCTATAAAGAAAAAAACTAAACTTTTTTGCTAGGAACTACCAAGTTATGTTATGGTCCTTCAATGAATAGGTTCATTTAATTTAGATTGTCCAATTCATGATTGTGTTTTAGTTGCAACATGTGTTTCTCCATCTAATGTATTCATCCACTTTTTATTATTATTTTGAATTCTTGTGAAAAAAACTTAAGATTTCATCGAAATAAATGAAATAACACAAGTTTTAACATGCAGCTTTAAAATCTGATTTTCTTGGACAAGTGTTAATTAAACTAAATTAATGGGACAATAAGAGTAATATTTTTCTAATGCTATTTAGGGTTGAGTTATTATGACATAAGTGTCATTTTCATCAATTAATTTGTTGGCATTAAAAGATATTGGGTGTGGCCAACTTCCCCAACGGTCATTAATATTGTATGACTTTGCAAGTAGTTTCATGTGATTTGCATTCTTCAATCTCGTGGTGGGTGGAAATATTAAGTGTTGTTCTGTTTCCTTTGCTCCCTCCTACTTTGAGCATGTACTCTTTATTTGAAATATTAATGCTAAAGAAGACATTTTGGTAGATGCAACGTTTGAACACAATGTTGCAATCATTCACAAATTTGGATTTTTAAGCTATGTAATTAGGCTTTTAGTTGTTTAGAAAGTGTCTAAGAATATTTAAACTTGTAATGAGATTAATATTTGAGTCGAGATTTTAAGTATGTGGTTGGACCTGACATACTACTTTAAAATGAGTAATTTTAAAAAGTCAAACCCATATTTATTTCCTATAATAGAATATTTATGTGATTTATGTTATTTAGTATTCTAACCATTGAAAAATAATTCAACCATAATTAGAGTTGGTTTGATAAATAAACTAACTTTGTTAGTTAGTTAGTTTGTACAACAAGTGATTGTTTTAATGTTGATGCAATTATAAATATTAAGTGTATGCTTAATTGAATGATATTATCTTTCATTTGAATAAAGTTATAGATAAAGTTTATATATATCTAACTAAATATAGAAAATAAATTTGAGTGCATTCTTCTTACAAAATTGAAAAAGATGAGCCAATATTAATGGTCGATGAAAATGGGTACATAAGTATGATATTCTATTCAGAGTATGTTTATGAGTTCGTTTTCAATCAAATTTTAAAGAATCTCACTTAACTATTTAAGTATTGATAAGAGAAGTTTTAAATATCTAAAAGGATCTATTAATTTTGATTTGTATTATGAGAAATTTATGGATTACAAGTTAATAGAATTTTTGTGATGCTGATCATGTTAAAAATAAAATTGAGAGAAAAAACATAAGATAATCAACAATAGCATTATTTACTATTGAAGCAAAATACATATGGACTACAAATTGTTGCAGTTTTTGTTTTCAAAAGAAACATTAATTAGAGGATTATCAGATAAAAGAGAATAACATTCATATCGTTTGTGATAATACTTCTGTAATTTGTTTAGTAAAAAATCTTAGATATTAAGTTTGTTGATACATGTCATCAATGAGATGACATATTTGTTGAATTGTAATTTTTTATGTCGAAGCAAATTGTTCAATGGGGACAAGGAACTTGTCGAAATAGCCTAGTATGTGTGTCGAAACATGTGTTGTCAAAGTGTTGAAGAGTTAGTTTCGACATGGATATTGTTTTCACTATGCCAAAAAGACCTTTAGCAGCGCTTTAAAGCGCTGCCTAAAGTGGCGCTGCTATAGGTAAAGACAACGCTTTTTTAACGGAAAAAGCGCTGCTAAAGGCTCCCTTTAATATCACATTTAGCAGCGCTTTTTTACCCCTTTAGCAGCGCTTTTGAAAGCGCTGTCTATTCCCCCTCCCCCCCTTTAGCAGTGCTTTTTCTTAAAGCGCTTTCTTAGACCCCCCCCTTTCCCCACCTATAGCCGCGCTTTTAGAAGCGCTTTCTTTGAACCCCCCTTTAGCAGCGCTTTTTCTTAAAGCGCTTTCTTAGACCCCCCCCCCCCCCTTTCCCCACCTATAGCAGCGCTTTTGCCTTAAAAGCGCTGTCTAATGTGCATGATTTGAAATTTTTTTATATATATTATTCAATAAACCTGCTTATATTACATTCCCTGCTTATATGATTCAACCCTTTTATTTCAATACTTTGGCCTTATATACACAATTCAAAACTTAGGCCTTTAATTATATATACATTCAACAAATAAATACAAATAGGCCTTTAATTCAACAAATAGATACGAATAGGCCTTTAAGTATATATACATTGTACAAATAGATACAAATAGATACAACTTAATTATACAATTATACAATACCGTTAACTTTACAAATGGATACGAGTTATACAATTATACAAATCTCGACTCAAGCATAAATTGACACCAATCCTCCTTTATTTCTTCCAATTTTGCCTTCGTGTAAGTACCGCATTTGAATTCATCAAAATACTACATAATATAAAAGAACATACACGATTTAATTTTAAAACTAATTACTCAGATGAAATATCGGTTAATTAATAAAATGAATCATATAACTTATGAATTGATCCATACCATGACTGGAATCTCAATTTGACCAGAAAGAATAATCTCCTTCATAAAGCGGAGAACAAAATATCCGCAGTCAATGCCATTGCGCTGACGAGGACACTGTAAATGGAAAAAACAAACGAATATTTATCAGGATATATAGTTTAAATAGTTTGATCAAGTAGAACCACTATAACAGTCAAACATGGGAAAATATACCTCCACTCTGATCCAACTGATGTTGTTAGCCTTGCTTTTTCGCACTGTTGCATCTCTTTGCGCTATGAATATTTGTATAACTCTAACATAATATAAACGCATATTTAGAACAATGTCACATAATAAATAAAGATATATAATTATTCAGAATAGTATATCTCATCACTTACGTATCAAACATGTTCTTCAGATTTTCATATTTATTTGTATCGCCATCCAATGAATCTATATAATACACTATTTCTTTCATCGGATTAATCGCGACCAACAACCAGTGTCCACTATAAAATAAGACAATAGTTTAGAAGGAAATATTATATAGAATGGCAAAAATCAAACAATTATAATAAATGAATTTAGAGTAAAATCTAACCCATGTCCAGTATTGTATGGCAACAAGAACAACTTCTCCGTAGTCGCGCCCATAAATCTCTGGACTGTGTACTCTTTGACTGTATCTGGTGACTGGTCTATTGTCCGGCAGTTGATACAGCTAGCAGATAAGAATGCGAATATTGAAGTCAAGGCATTCGGGACCAACAACTTGTCATACAAGAACCTAAAAAAAACATAATCAACATTAGAATATTCAGATAATCAACTTGTTCAATTATTTAAATAAAATACATCGGAGTACCTGATGTAGGAATGCATAACACCGACGCCCAATTCAGAATGTGTGAAAACCTGGTCAAAATCCTCCTTAGCAAGTGTTTCGGGATAGTCAAAACCGAAAATACCTTGCTCCATAGGTATTAGACGGACGCCACCGTCATGCACATCTGTTGTTCCTACTAGTGTTTCAAGGCATATCCTAAATCGAGGAACAGATGCTTTTTTTGGCTCGACCTTTTTTTTGCTGGGCGCCTTGGAAGTTTCAGGCATCTTACCCTTGCTGACTTGTTGCGACTGCTGATCATGAACCTAAAAGTCATATATAAGTTCAGTAATTAATGTATATTAAGATAATCATGTAACTGTAGTAGTACATGTTTCTTTGATGCAGCTGAATCGGTATCCCGCACAATAATTCTATCATCTTTTGATTTGGATTTTGAGGGAGTCTAAGATCATCATGTAAAGAAGAAAATGTAAATGTAAGAATAACTTTCATGTATGATCATAAAACATTTGAATATTAAAAGGTTCAACCTACCTCATCATCTAGGAAAATGAGATTTGCCGGCCAAGCAACATACGCTCCTATTGCGTCTTCCACCACTGTTGCGTCTGAAACATCATCCGGTATAGGCAACAACGCTTCCCCCTCTAACGCAATATCAACCGATACTTTCAAAAATCCGGCAGGGAGCGGTTTATGGTGAAGTAAGTCTCCCAGAGTGTTATGCACCTTTCCCTTGGCAACCATGTGATAAATCGGTGATGATAAATATAGCCGACAAGGTGAAATGCCCTAAACAAATAATGATCAGTTAATGTGTCAATTAAGAAAACTGTGCTAAATTAATTTTAATGTAATATATACAATTACGTACCTCTGGAAGCTTCTGCGGACAACCGATGCTATCTTTGTCACTAGTAGCCTTACCCTCTGCAGCGCGCCTTTCCGCCATGTATCTCTCCTTGTCCTGCTGTAACTCACGAATCTGAGCTTTCATTTCCTCCAAAGTAGCCATCACTTCTTTATTGGTTGGATTTTTTTCCTTGGCTGCTTATACA